ATTTTGGGTCCTCAACATCTCCAATTCAAGTTTTTCTGAAGGAATTAGTTTGCTTAGAGTGAAATCCAGCTCTAACTCCCAAATTTGGAACCCGATTGGAGTCTCGTCTTCTCCCACAAGCCTCTCGTGCCTAGGCGGTTGTGTGTGGCAAGTTTCGTGTTAAACCGACGCCGTTTGGTGATTTTGGGGCATCAACACCTCCAATTCAAGTTTCTTAAGGAACTAGTTTGCCTAGAGTGAAATCCGGCTCTAACTCCCAAACCGGAAACCCGATTGGAGTCTCGTCTTCTTCCACAAGTCTCTCGTGCCTAGACGGTTGTGTGTGCCAAAGTTTCGTGCTAAACCAACGCCGTTTCGTGATTTTGAGGCGTCAACACCTCCAATTCAAATTTCCTAAGAAACTAGTTTGCCTAGAGTGAAACCCGGCTCTAACTCTCAAACCGGGAACCTAATTGGAGTCTCGTCTTCTCCCACAAGTCTACGGTCGTGTGTGCCAAGTTTCGTGCTAAACCGACGCCGTTTGCTGATTTTGGGGCGTCAACACCTCCAATTCAAGTTTCTTAAGGAACTAGTTTGCCTGGAGTGAAATCCGGCTTTAACTCCCAAACCGGGAACCCGATTGGAATCCCGTCTTCTCCCACAAGTCTCTCATGCCTAGACGGTCATGTGTGCCAAGTTTCGTGCCTAGCCTCGATCCTTTTTTGTTGTGTACAGTTAATTTATGGTTAGTCTTAGCTTAGAATGCAAAGATACATTTTATACCTGATCTTCTGGTGGTGGTGTAAATGGATTCTCATCTCCTGTAGATTCCCTAAATGCTCGGTGGCTACTTGATGCATCAGGAACCTATGATAGTCAATACATAATGTATTAATCATATTCGAATTTTATTATACATATGTACATATATGTTGTGTGAAAATTTAACTATCAAACAATTTAATTTATATCAAACATGTCTGTTGGGATCCACACTCGCCCCCTGTGACACAAAGGCCATCATCTCAGCTCTCATCTGCTGTAAATGTGTAGAGAACTCTGCTCGCATCTCCTCCCTCAACTCATCCCTTAGCTCTGCACGAACCTACTGGGTGATCTGAACAATAGTCAATGGCTGGGGTGTTGACTATGATGACCCTGTCCCGTCTTTATACACCACTCTCCAAGGCACAGTTCTCCCATATATGCGACAATATCCATGTCCGTCATGACCTATCAACTCATGGAAAATGGCATTCCTAGCCTTCAAAGTCTGACAATCCTCAGGTAGCATGGAGAGTTGATGATTAAACTCATCATGTATTGAATAAGACATACAAGCATATGTGAAATTAAGATGGTTGATACACAAAAAAATAAAAAAATAAACTTTAAATACAATGTTAGGTGTTTGGAAACTACCAAGGTCTGGATAACCTCAGGGGCATCTGCTCTACGTGTCATAAGCCAAACATTCATCTTATCAGTAGACTCCCCCTTATTGGTCATCTAGATTTTTTTAGAAATACGAAAATTAGAATCCAAATAATTTACAAATATACAATGTTTATTTGTATACAAAAATAAAACAATAAAATTTAAACCTTATGCCGTATCTGAGCAAAAGTAGTACGCCCTGTGGTATGAGCTATGTCGTGAGCTCGCCGATTTTTAGCGTTCCTAGTTGCAATTTTCTATAACAGGTTCAACAAATATAAGTATATAAATATGATTTGTATGTTTAAATATCATACATATAACTTATTTGTATACCTCAGCATCGAAAGTACGCCAATACTCCACAAGTTTTTCCCACTAGCTTGGCACAATGTGTAAAGGAACATCATCCTTCAGATTAGGATCACAACTTCTAGGCTTGAAATACTTGGTCTTTATCTTATTCTTGTGATCCTTCCATATGTTGTTGCAGGTTTTCATGTGAATTGACTTATACTCCTCTGGACATATATTCAAATTGTCCTATAAAACACAATTTCAAAGCTTAAATAATAATTACACAATTTTGAAATTTGAATTTTTTGGACAAAAATATACTTCTACCTTCACATCATTCCAGATAGCATCAAGAATATCATTAGGCACATTGTTCCAGTCAAGAAAAGTAAGAGGAACAATGTTACCATTCCACACAATAATGCCAAGTTGAGTAGTTAACTTAGACACGTTATCCCTTATTGGACAGTTATCCCCTATTGGACAGTAATTTTCATCAAATTGTACGTCCAACTTTGTACCAGTACCCCACTCCCTAATGACCTTGGCACATCTTCTACCACGCCTTGTCGAGGTTGATGAAGAACTAACATGACCTGCGAGATATAATAACAATAAACAATATGCAATGATAATAAACAAATGCAAATTTAAATAATGTCAATACAAATCAAATTCTTATACCTGAGGTGGGCTGTGAAGAATTCGAAGGGTCTGCAAAATTCAATGAGAATAAACAAGTTATATATAATGAGAATAAATAAATTTATATTTAAATAATTTTCATACAAATTAAAGCAAATTTATATACATGCGAATGGCTCATAAACTGATGACTCTAGTCGGGATGATAGCTGCTGTGGTGCCACTGATGGTGGTCGATGCGGTGGTACTAATGGCCCCCTGATGGTGGTCGCTGGGATGCCTCCTCTAATGGTGGTGCCAGTAATAGTGGTCGCTGCGATAGCTGGTTAGATGGTGGTGGCACTAATGGCCTCTCTGATGGTGGCCGATGTGATGCCTCCTCTGATGGTGGTGCTACTAATGTCCTGTTATGTACCACATCGGACATCATACGCTAGGGATGATCAGGCTTCCTCTTCCTTCCCATAATAATCTACAAGCAATATAACATTAATTGACATTAGAAATATAGACAATGGTTTGTCATCAACTATAATATGACATTAATTGAACAAATACAATTACAAAGACATTAAATTAAGAAACTGATGATTAACTACAACTTTGGCTTTAATTGAATTACTGATGTTGACTGAATATCAGTGTATTTGAATATCAACTGTTTCCCCTTCTGCGGCTTCTTTCACCCAACCAACTTCTTCATCACGAAGCATTATATTTTCTTCCAATTGTTGGCTCATATATGGCTCGATTTGTGGATCAATCAAACTCATATCAAATAAATCTCTTTGAGACATCTTCACCACCATTTGCCAGTCTTGTTGTAACGGGTTTGCAACATACCAAACTTGCTCTGCTTGGGACGCCAAGATGAAAGGTTCATTGGTAATTCGATCATCTCGGTACAACAAATGATTGAAGTTCACCAACGTGAAATTGAAGGCATCTTTTTTCTTTCCGTGAATGTTATCAATCCAATCACACTTAAACAACACATGTTTCTTCTCATTGGAATATCGAATCTTAACAATATCTGTCAATTGTCCATAATAGTACACAAACCCCACACGAGGATTCTTGTCTTTCCGACTAGTGTAACTTATGGTATTTGCCTTCAAAGCTACACCACAATTTTGTGTGGCTCGACGATCATCCATGGCCTTTACTTGATACCGAAACCCATTCATTATATACCCGTTGAACCTCCTTGCCAGGTTATGAGGACTATTTGCCAATAGAATAATCTCTTCAGAAAGTATGATATCAGTAGTCCTTTTAAAACAAAAATATAAAATTTAAAATGTAGTTCGACTTAAGTAACTAGAATCTGTAGACTTAAATACATACATGTTCCTTGAACCAAATGTGAAAAGTTTCAAAATGTTCACGCCGAAGCTGATGATCGTCGACACGAGGAATTTTGAGCTTAAGTACTTCAAGGTGTTTGCTGTGTAGATTGAAAATTTATCAATACAAAAAATTTGGTTCAAAATTCAATAAAACATAATAAAATATTGAGTGAGTGAGTGACATAACTTACTTTATGAATGGTTGATTCAAAATTCAATACAACATAACAAAATATTGAGTGAGTGAGTGACATAACCTACTTTATGAATGGTTGAACTGCGCTTGTATTGAATAAGATGTACCAGTGTTTTCAAAAGCGCGCCTAGGCGCAAGGCGCAGCGAGGCTCAACCTGTGCGCCTGAACTGCTCCCAGGCGAGGCGCGTTGAATAAGTTGCGCGCCTTAGGCGCGACTGGAAGCAGGCGAGAGAGGCGCAAGGCTCGCGCCTAGGCACGACTGATGTTTACACCCTAATCTTTGATCTAACGGCTGTGGTGTGTGTTCGGAATGGCTCTAACTACAGAGGATTACAACTTATATACACTACAAACCCCATACGACTGAAACGAAGCCCTAAATCTGTGTCGTCTCTTTGGCTCTCCATCTCTCGACTTAGATTCGACTTTGACTTGGACTAGGTTCCTTCTTCGGCTTCGACTTCGACTTCAACTTTCAGGTGCGCTACACTCTCTCTCTCCCCTTCTGCCTTCTTCGACTTCGATCGTTTGGACTGTGTTGTCTTCATTTTATTTTTATTTTTCTCCTTCCTCTCTCCTTCTTCTCTCTTCTTCAACTTGGACTGTGTCGTCTCTTCTGCTCTGCCCTTTTTTTTTTTTTTTTTTTGCTCAATTATTTATGCCTTGGAGTCTCTGTTAAAATAAATAAATAAATACAAAATAAATACAAAATATTTATGCCTTTGTCAATTAAATATTTTAACAAAATAAATATTTTTTAAAATAAATACAAAAAAAATACAAAATAAATATTTTCCATCAATTTTCCATTGTATTAATTAATTAATTTTCCATTACATTACATTAATTGATTTTAATTTTCCATTACATTACACAATTAATTAATTAATTGTATTAGTCTTCATTGTATTACACATCTGCTTTGATCAGTCTTCATTATAGTAATTAATTTTCCATTATATTACACAATTAATTAATACACTATGCATTACACAATTGCATTACATTGTATTAATTAATTTTCCATTACATTACACAATTAATCACACTTACATTACATTGAAATTATTTTCCATTTATTAAATTTGTTGTGTAGAAAATGACATCATCGGAAAGTAATAGAAAAAATCCGGCGTGGCAATATGTCCATTTGGTAGAGGAGAATAATTTAAACAAGTTCGAGTGTAATTTTTGTGGTAAAGTATCAAATGGAGGTGTTTATCGGGTGAAACAACACCTTGCGGGAGGTTATAGGAATGTCACTGCTTGCCTGAAGTGTCCTTCTCATGTAAGAGAAGAGATTAGAGAGTTCATGTAAAAAAAAAAGACACAAAAAGAAGAAATGAACATGTTGCCTGATTTCGATGACATGGACATGGAAGATAAAGATGAAGATGATGATGTCGTTGAGATCAATGTCAATCAACACCGCAAGTTAACAAGTAGTAGCCAAGGTTCATCCAAATCCAAATCCAAATCAAAAATGCCAAAGAAAAAAGGGCCTATGGATGTTTACTTCACACCCAATTCTGAATCAGTGGTGAAAAATCGAAGAGACCAAGCAAAAGGGAAACAAACCAAAATTGATGCAAATGACCCTTACAAAAAAGAAAGGAGAGCTCGGGCACTGCAAAGATTTGCAAGGTGGATGTATGATGCTGGTATCCCTTTTAATGTAGTAAATTATGAGAGTTTTGGACGAATGATTGAAGCCATTGGCCAATATGGTCCTTGTATGAAGCCACTGACTTACCATGAAGTGCGGGTTACCCAACTCAAAAAAGAAGCGAAACATACTGAAGATTTGATGAAGTATCATAAAGAGGATTGTGCAAAATACGGGTGTTCCATAATGACTGATGGTTGGACTGATAAGAGAGGAAGGACATTGATTAACTTTTTAGTTAATTGTCTAAGAGGAACCATGTTTGTTGAGTCGGTTGATGCTTCTAGCTATTCAAAGGATGGGCAAAAACTATTTGAATTACTAGACAAGTTTGTGGAGAAAGTTGGAAAAGAGAATGTGGTGCAAGTTATCACTGATAGTGTTGCAGCTAATGTGTTGGCGGGTAAGAATATTTCCTCATTTCTTACATCAAAATTGTTTACTCATAATTTGTTTTGTATTTAAAATTTAAAAACTTGAAAATAATAATTCTTCATTATTGTTACATTATAGGGAGGTTTTTGGAAGCTAAGTATGAACGCTTGTATTTGACACCATGTGCTACTCATTGTTTGGACTTAATGTTAGAAGACATTTTCAAGATACCTAGACTGAAAAAGACATTTGAAAGGGGTATTGCAGTACATGGCTACATTTGCAATCGGCCTACGTTGCTAAACATGATGAGGCGCTATACAAATTTGAAGAATTTGATCAAGCCTGCAAAAACTAGATTTGCAACCACCTTTTTGACTTTGTCTAGAATGCATCAACAAAAAAAACAATTTGAGAAAGATGGTGACCTTCGAAGACTGGGCAATGGAGCCACAAGGTAAAAGAATGGCACAAACTTTGTTGATGCCTTTATTTTGGAATACTGTTGTGTTTGCCGTTAAGGTCTCGGGTCCTCTTGTCAAAGTGGTTAGATTGGTTGATACCGAGAAGAAACCTCCCATGGGATACATTTATGAGGCAATGGATAGGGCAAAAGAATGCATTGCAAGTTTATTTGATCATAAAGAAGAGAAGTATAATGAAATCTTCGAAATCATCGACAAAAGATGGGATGTCCAATTGCATCGGCCTTTACATGCAGCTGCGCATTTTCTTAACCCAAAATTCTTTTACCCAAAAGCGTTAGAGATGCAAAGAGATCATGAAGTGATGAATGGGTTTTATGAATGCATGCAAAGGTTGGTCCCAGATGTCAATGTTCAAGATTTGATCACTAATGACATGAGTATTTATATGAAAGCTGAGAGTCTTTTTGGCAAGTCTGTTGCGATTAGGCAAAGAAATACAAGAGCACCAGGTAATATATTATAGACTCATAGAGTTTATTTTTAGTAATACTTTTAGTAAAACTCAATACTTGGTAACAGTTATTTCTAACTAGTGGATTATCGCAGCTGATTGGTGGGCATCATATGGTTCTTATATTCCAAACTTGCAAACTTTTGCCATAAAAGTCCTTAGCCTAACAGCCAGTTCATCGGGTTGTGAACGAAATTAAAGTGCATTCGAACATGTGAGTATTTAACATTCTAACTAATTTTTTTGTTCAATTCAAATATTTTTTATTCTCATTATATAGAATTTAATAACTTTTTAATACTTGCAGCTTCATAGCAAGAAAAGAAATAGATTGGAACAACGTCTCAATGATTTAGTGTATGCCAAATACAATAGAACATTGAGATTTAGGTATGACATGCGCAACACTCTTGATCCCATAACTTTGCAAAATATTGGTGAAAGCAATGAGTGGTTGCTTGGGAGGATGGATGGAGAATCAGATGAAGATAATGAGCCTGTGTTTGATGATGATGATGGCTTGACGTGGGCCACTGTTGCTAGAGCTTCTGGAGTAGAAGAAAGTAGCCATGCAAGTAGAGCAACAAGTTCACGCTCAAAGGCACAACCGAGGATAGCTAAATCATCAAGATTAACTCCACTTCAATTAATAAATGAAGAGGAAGCAGGCTCAGATGACACAGAGGATGAAGATGTTGAGGGATACAAATCAATTGATGGAGAAGAAGATGATAGTTTGCTTGCCATTGATGTTGAGGATGATGATTGACTGACCGACCTAACCTACCCTTTCTTTTGATGTTGATGTTTTTAAGTGTTAAGATATATTAGTATTTGTTGGATATTAATGTTTTGGATGTTTAGTGTTTATGTTTATGTTTTTGGATGTTTGAAATGTTATGTAATATGCACTTTCATGGCTTTGAGAATTATTCTATATTGTGTCTTGAAACTTGATTACTTTTTATTTTTAAAAAAATTGTCTTAGTACTATGAATGATTAGTCTATGTTAATTTTTTTATTTTTTATTAAGACTGTGCGTCTTACTTCAATAAAGCCCGCGACTCGCCTTGCGCCTAGGCCCCGAGAGACCTTCAGCGCCTTAGTGCGCCTTGAGCCTTTAAAAACACTGAGATGTACCGATAAGCTTTTACCCAAGAAGTATTATCAAGATAATAACTTGTGTTTTCACCAATAGCATGACCTAGATTATCATCACCACTATAGTTCCTCACGGGTTGACTAGATTTGGTTTCCACATCATTGAGATATTGTGCAAAAAAATTCATGCATTCTTCCATAAGAAATCCTTTAGCAATTGATTCTTCAGGATGAGCTCTATTACGCACGTATTGCTTCAAAGTAAAAAGATACCTCTCAATTGGATACATCCATCGAAACTGAATCTCTCCACCCAATAATGCTTCATCAGCTAGATGTATAGGCAAGTGCTCCATTATATCAAAAAAAGTCGAAGGAAATATTTTCTCTAGATGACAGTGTTACAACGATACAATCTTGAATATATTGCAAATTCGTCGCACGATTCACTTTGGAACACAATTGTCTAAAAAAATTGCTCAATTCAATCATGGGTTCAATTACATTCTTCGGTAACGATCTTCGAATAGCCAATGGAATAAGTTGCTTTAGAATATGACTATCGTGGCTCTTAAGACCCCCAATACTTCTATCATATGAGCGCACACAACGTGATATATTGGGTGAATACCCGTCAGGAACTATTTTCCTTCAACACTTTCAAGAACAAATCTTTCTCATCCTTGGTCATCGTGAATTGTGCTGGTGGTAAATAAGCTTTATTCGACCCTCTTAACTGCAAATGTAGGGGTTTTCTAATATTCATATCTTGTAAATCACGCCGAGCATTAACACCATCTTTCGATTTTCCTGCAACCCTAATATTGTCCACAACACATTGTCACAAACATTCTTTTCTATATGCATCACATCGAGGTTGTGTCTTATTAGATTGTGCTCCCAATATGGCAATTCATAAAAGATACTATTTTTCTTCCAGCTATGGGTGCGATGTCCAGCTTTCTCCTTCTCTACTTGTCTCCTATGCCTCTCCTTAAGGTCATCCCTGTTGTATTGGGTTAAAATACCCTCATATTCTAATTGTAGCAGCATCTCAGTTTTAGACAACAATTTTGGTTTGAGTCTGACTTCCCGACTACCATCAAATGATACTTTATCCTTCCGAAATTTATGGCCACTAGGTAAAAATTTGCGATGACTCAAGTATGATTGTTTCCTACTATGCTTCAACCAACACAATGTAGTTTCCTTATTGCAACATGGACATGCATATTCGCCTTTAGTGCTCCATCCTGACAAGTTTGCGTATGCAGGAAAATCACTAATTGTCCACAGTAAAGCTGCATGCATTTGAAACATTTGATTTGTTGATGCATCAAATGTTGACACACCCTCATTCCATAGTTCTTTAAACTCCTCAATCAACGATTGCATATGCGCATCAATCTTGTCACCAGGTCCTTTCGGGTCGTCAATAAGCACGGATAAAATTAGAAATGGTTGCTTCATGCACATCCATGGCGGCAAGTTGTATAGAATGAGCACAACAGACCAAGTGCTATGAACTATGTTCATCGTCCTGAATGGGTTAAAACCATCAGATGCTAAGCCAAGCCTTACACTTCGGCAATCATTATTAAAGTCAATATTCCGACGGTCAAAATCTTTCCATGCAAGGGAGTCAGCAGGATGCCTAAAGACACCATCATCAGTTCGTTTCTCTGCATGCCATCTCATTAACTTGGCCGTCTTGGATGACATACAAAACTTTGCAACCTTAGCTTTAAAGGAAAATGCCTCATCTGTTTTACAGCTATTCGTTTGCCACCTTTATTACGACCATTTGAACCACTATCACCATTTGATTTCCATCTAGAACTGTTGCATATGACACATTTATCAAGATTGGCGTCCTCGTTTCGAAACAACATGCAACTGTTGGACCATGCATCCCATGTCTCATACGTGAAGCCCAAATCTGTTGTAACCTTTTGAGCTTTATAATATAAGTCCGGGAGTTTCACACCCAACAGGAACGCCTCATTCAATAACTTAAGCAACATGTCAACAGACTTGTCTGTCCACCGATTAAGCACCTTCAAATGTAGAAGTCGAACAATGAATGACAATGATGTGAACTTCTGACAACCCGGATACAATTCACTTTGTGCATCTTGAAGAAGTTTGAAATACTTTGCAGTCTCTGCATTTGGACCGAGCTGGGGTTTAGATGCATTGGGATCAGGCCAATGTGGTTCATTACCCTCAACACTTGTACCGGCATGTGGATTTTCCATAGCCCCTTGTATCATTCCAATCATATCATCTCCAATGTCTAAATTAGCTAATGTTTCACTCTCTCGATTACCATGCAGAGATACGTAAGATTCTCCATGATTAATCCAATGTTTGTACTTTTTAAAAAAATCATTCAAAATCAGATGCTCCCGTACACCCTCTCGTACAAGATGGTATCGATTCTCACACTTTCTACACGGACAACTGATCATCGAACCTTCAACCCTATTGGTGTAGGCAAACACAAGGAATTCATCAATCCCATTAATGTATTCGCTCGACATCCTATTTGGAAAATCAATCTAACTCTTATCCATCATCTGTACACATCCACAAAAATATCTCATCAAAGTAACTCTAAATATAATACCTACGTATTCATGTACCATGATACACATCCATCCAATTTCTCTCAAATAGGTAGGTGATCTTATCCCAGTTAGTTATTTACCAATTTGATGGGAGAACATAAAAAAATGAAATACTTATACAACAACATGTGAGACATAAAAATGTTGCAAAACACCAAGTATTCCATCACTAATTCGACATGTCTAGAACATTAAGAGGTGCACAGAACATCATAGGCTTTAAGAGCTAGGAAAAAAAAAATTCAGACAAAAATAATTACACCCTCATCTCTCAAAACAAGTAGTACACTTCCATTCCATAGCAATGAATATAGCTATCCATTAAATTTTAAGGATCTAAAATGAATTGATTTGAGACGGAATATGAAGATCATATTCATTTAGACTCCTTAAGTTTAAAAAAACTTTTGAGTAAGACACTTAGTTCTAAAACATACGACAAGTTTTGACATGAATAAGACACTTAGTTATAAAAAAAACGACACTTAGTTCAAAACATAGTGCAAGCACCATGTTATTCTATCATACTAGAGTCCTGTAGGCAAACACTTGGTTCTCTAATTTTAGCAATATTTGTAATTGAAATTGCTATTATTTTTAATTATTAAACTTTGGTCCTTGTTGTCTTCACGAGGAGAATATAGATATGACCAAAAAGACCACTACCCTGACTTTAAGTGCTCTCCCTTTAAGTGCTCCCTTTAAAATATGTTAATAAGTGTACTTAAATCAATCATTAACTTGAGTATCACATGTATATTATTGACTAATATACCATGTTGGACGTATCAATCAATTTTAAGTTTGTTGATTTGAATAATAAACCTCCATGAAGAAAAATTATTCACTGTGCACGTGATATACATGGTGTTATTGTAAACAAATTTTAACAAAGATTTCCACATAAAAGTAATAATATACAATATATATATATATATATATATAATGATATAACAAAATTAAAGACCTATTATTTTAAAACATAAGAAGTATTTCATAATATCAATAGTTGATATTTTTCATAGTATTTTTTACGCACCACACTTGACAAATGAGAAGAGTTTGTACCATTAATTAACAATAATTCACATTTCCCTCAATTTTTCATTTTTGATTTCCAAATTCACGATCCAAACACAATTTGAAGAAAATTTTTCAAATTTAAAATGAAATATTGTTATTGTAAATTATTAATTTTATATTAAATAATGTTAGGAATGGTAAAAAAAAATTACCAACAAACACATTGACTAGACATAATATAGGAATTAAGATTATATTCATTACATTAGATAGAATGAAGATTTTTGAAGAAAAGTTTTCAAATTTAAAATGAAATATTGTGATTGTAAATTATTAATTTTATATTAAATAATGTTAGGAACGGTAAAAAAAATTACCAACAAACACATTGACTACACATAATATAGGAATTAAGATTATATTCATTGCATTAGATAGAATGAAGATTTTCATTTCATAGTCAAAGACTCTCAAAGATTCATATTAACATACTGTCATTATAAATTCAAAATTTATTTAAGGGAACTTTTCAAACTTAAAATGATATTGTAATCACAAATTATTAATTTTAAAATTTAATAATTATAGGGACACTAACAAACATACTAACTAGATATTATTAGATAAGCTCTATGTTAAGTATTGAAATCTATATACATATCTTGAGTTTTGATCAATCCCAGAAACTTCTAAAATTAATGACCGAATAAATCTCCAATAATTCCTTGAAAGACTCTAATTTAAGATTTTAGATACTATTTTCAAGTCTTTACAATCTTTTGGGGTTAGAATTTCCTTTTCATATAGAATTTTCTTTTTTTTAATTACATGATACTGATTGGATGTTTACAGTTCTCTCCTTCATGTACTAAATAATTGTTACATATAAAACCCATGAAATGGCCTGCACTATTGATCCGACCCTTAAAGATTTATATTGAATTATTAATTTGTGTCTCTCCAATTTTTATAAACAGGACTATAGAACATAATTATGGTCTTTATCTTTGTCCTTAAGATTCAATCATGTGACTCATAAGCATGTTCCAAATAGCCTAATTACAAAAACTGATTTTTTTTATTTTTTTTTTATTTTTATATCTCGCTCATTTCTTAATTCGTGACTTTCCAAGAAAATAAAATTCAGTGGAGAAGTTGAGGTAAATTACAATTCATAGCTTCCACAGTCCACTCCTAAGCTATCATAGTTCTTAAGCTAATGAAGAATACTGAGGAACCCAATTCTTTAAATGTTTGTTTAATTATTTATTATTATTAATTTTTATGGGTTGAATTTGTCTCTCGAACCTAACAATCATATTTGGTCTCGTGAGTCCATCCTAAGTTATATTTTAATCATTTTAATAATTTA